GAACAGGAAGTGAATCAGTGTCCATTGAAGGTTTAGTCTCTGCAATATATTCTGAAATGGCTTCAAGTGTTTCTGAATTCAAAGATGTATGGGAGACCATATTGGAGATAGAAGGAGGAGGGTGAGTAAAGATTGGGACAGTAATGGACTGTACCAAAGTAGAGGGGGAGGGAAGAGTGTAAGGGACTGGAGATGAAGTGTGGGGGGGGGACAGAAGAGGCAGAAACTGGGAGGTGGCAGAAGAGGAGAAACTTGGGAGGGGACGGGGGTGGAAGGCATAGTGCGAGGAGGAGGGTGAATCTCCACACTTGTAATAGAGCCCGAGAGAGGGGAAGAACTAGGTACAGAGACTGGAAAGGTAAAGTGTGGAGGTGGAAGAAGGGAAGGAAGGGGCAATAGAAGATTTGAGCAATGTGGATTTTTTGGACTTCTGAGTAGAGGGGCGATTGGTATTAGGTGTCGTACGAGGTCTTGTCGAAACTGGGGCTTGTGAGGAAGGACGCGAAGATGTGAGAACAGACTGAGTTGTAGTCGGGACGTCAGAGCCAAGGACAGCAAAAGGATTAGATGTCGTAGTGGCTATGGGAGGGGTAACAACAGAGGAGGCTGCAGAAGATGGGACCCCAGAAGTGGGGGGATGTTTGGAAACACGAGAATAAGAAACACGGGGTAGTCTCCCTTGGAGGCGGAGATGAGTAACTGCATAGGCATAAGGGAGACCTTCTGCCTCTTTGAGGCAACGGATTTCACGTTCATTTAAGTAGACCTGGCAACGGCGGGAGTACGAAGGGTGAGCTTCATTACAATTAAGGCAAGATGGAGGTTGACTGCAAGATGTATTAGAATGGTCATCGGCACCACAGACTGGGCATTCGGCCATAGATCTGCAATATTTCGCTGGGTGACCAAACGCCAGCAATTTCTACATTGTTGCGGTGTAGGTATCACCTTTCGAACTTGTAACCGATGTCCCGTGACATATACAGAGGACGGGAGTTCTCGGCTGTCAAAAGTTAAACGAGCCACATTGCAAGGGTAACGTCTCCGCCCCCGGGCAGGAAGGACAATAAGTGTCTACTTTGAGGATTGGGAGATCTGGAGTTCCAGCTGTTCAAAAATGTCATTGCCACATGACTGGAAGTTCTGTTGGACTATGGTTATGGGGCAGAATGACAGTACCACTACAAGATTGAGAGTCTAAAGATGTTTTTCAATAGTGGACAGGAGTAGTATCGATATTCGAAAGGAGAGAAAGATCATGAGCTTGGGCAGCATTCTGGACAGTGACGATGCGCATACCGCTCTTGAGAGCATGAAATGAAATATCTCTACCAACATGACGCAGGAGCGCTTTGCCAATACTATGGTCAGAAAGGTAGGCAGAAGAAGAAGTCGGTCTTAAAGTAAAGAATTTAGTCCATTGTGTGGTCCGAAACTGAGCGTGGAGAGGGAGTGCTTGACGTGTTGGTCTTTTCCGGGTAGAATGGGAAGGTAACAAAGGAGCATCATCAGGAGATTGACGTTGGCGTTTAGGAGTAGGACCGGAGTTGGTCCGGCGTGAAATGGGCGGGCGATTCGAAAATTGCCATACCGTAGAGGGAGAAGCCGGAAGCATAGTCAAAGGAGAGCGGAGTTCAGACAAATCGAAGGAGTCAGTCGAAGCCCCGGTACCTGAAGCGGGTGAGGAAACAGCACCAGCAAGAGGTACAGGGGCATCAGGAGTGTCCAAAGAGTGGTCTAAACACAAGGCAGGGTCAGAATGGGGTGCGGTATCAAGAAGGGGCCCGGGGGTAGTGGGTTCATGGACTAGGGCTGCCATGGTTAGGTTACTCCTTTGCTTTTTGTTTTTAAGAAAAAAAAAAGAAAGAAGAAAAGAAAATAAAATAAAAAAAAGAATAAAAAAAGGGGGGAGCGGGGAGGAATAGTTCCCAGGAGGAATGAAAGGGCCGGAAATCTCCCTCCGCGCCCAAGAGGACCTCAACACCGCTAGTAGCGCAGATGCAGCATGGAACCCGTGCCATACCCTACCCTTCATGCTAGTAAACCAGCAATCCGGGATAGCAACCTCACATCTGCCGAGCTACCTCGGTGGACAAAAGAGAGGGCGGCTGGATATCCGCCACAAAGCATACCTCCTTCGGCCACCACCCCCCGGAATCCGAAAAGGTGGCTTCCAGAGATACACCCGTCGCCCGAAAGACACCCAAAGCTACTCCGGTATACTGGAGAGGGATCAGGACATCCCCAGGCAATCCAGATTCCATGGCAAACTACGCCACCGCCAAGAACCTCAACGGAATGGGATGGACCCCGGTGTCCTTTCCCTACCTAGGAACTAGCGCGCCTGTGGGAGAAATCCCAAAGGCCAAAAAGAGGAAGGGCAAAAAGGAGGGGTGAGGAGGAGGGAGGAGGAATGGAAAAAGGGGAGGATGGGATAGGGGAGGGGGAAGAATGGGGGGGGTAATTAGGTTCGGTCTGAGGAAGAAGACCGACAGGGCTAATTCCTCAGACAAGGGCCCTCTTCCCCACGCCCAAGGAGCCTCCCTTGAAGAGGGACCTTAATAAAGATCTTTCCCGCAGAAAGTCGTTTTGCCACAATGAAGGTTTCCCGGGAGCTTGTTCAAAATTACCAGGGGCATTTAAAAGGCCCCAAAATTTTTTATTTTCCAGGGGAATTTTTCACAGTGGGGGCAATGCAGGGGTTTTAAACCAGTCTAGAAAAAGCCCCCTAGTGAACCCTGCCTTACTGTTTCCCCTCCACAGCACACAAAAATTACCCTTAGAATTGTTTTTCCCGAACACTCTGGGGTTTCATTTTTTTTCCCTAAACACTGGGGTTTCGGATACACCAGAAAAGGGCTTACTTTCAATAAACCACTAGCATTAGCCACTTAAAAGAGTAACCCTGTTTTCTAGGCTTATGTCCTGGGAGTGCCTTTTCCTCCTCAGAATGTAGGCCCTGTTTGGGCATTTTCTTCCAAACGGGGCCTGTTTGTCACACTTAAACACTTTTTAGGTTTCAGTCCTTCAGTCTATGCATCCTTGAATTCCTCCCCAATTTTTTTCAGCGCTTTGTGGTCCAAACTGGAGCCTACATGAAAATCACACTATATACCACTACGTTAAAAAATCTCTAAAACCCAACCTTTGCGGTTTTTAAATTCACTCACTCCCCCAAGTTGTGGGCTTTTTTCTAATTAAACCCTCATGAACTTCCTACCTTTTTACATTGATTCTTGAGAGATGCTATTCCTGTTATCTGTTTTTCATTTATCCCACCAATAACGTCTCTCAACATCTTCTATCACTTGCGATCTCGTTTTTGAAAAAAAAGTTGCCCTTTGGCAAGAACAGCTTCCTTGATTTTGCCTTTTGTTGGCCCCCGATAGTAGCGATGGTTTTATTGGGGTTTTGTGTACAAAACCCGGGCCGCTCGGAGACACCCCTCCACTTTCAATATTGCAATGATCTCTTTCTTTTATCCAAAGAATTCTCACCCCTTTTTCCCCGTAGGGTTTGGGACTAAACTTTTTTTGGGGCCCTTTGGGGGCTTTTTTTGAGGGGAATCACTAAAAAAGGCTGTGATAATATGAAATGTTCCGATTGTATGTTGGGAGGGGACCGCGGTGGTGGCTTGTAAAAATGGGACCCCAAAAAAGTGAGGGGGGGTTCAGGCCGCAGTGGACGGTCTGAACAAAACGCGTTTTAGCGAGTTTTTTTTAGCGTTGCAGAGGGAAAATTTTTTCGTTAAAAAGTTCGCTAGGCGATTTAACGTTATGCGATGCCTCATTTGGCGATGGGCCATGTATATATCCCCATTATTCGACCCGTCTAAATATTAAAAATTTAAGTGATTGGGAATAAAATAAAAAACATTTGGAAAGAAATAATTTTCTCATTAGTATTTTTTTTTTAATTAAACATTTACAAAAAAGTTGACTCTTGTGTAATATTATTAAATATATTAATGATATAACATTTTGATGATTAACAGGTCCTTTTTTTATGGAAAGGATCAGCATGAAATTTCACCTGTGATGCCCCTTTTATTACTTGAAATAAATAAAAGTAAGAAACAGAATGGTAAAAACTACACAAATGGGACTTCAAGTTGAGAAAAATTGGAGTAAAAATATAAAAAATACTTTTGATCTTTTAAATGGTCAAGGAAAGATATATGTACTTGGGAGAGTTTTAAAAAAAGTTAATTTTATTTTTCTTTGTACAGTTTTGCCATGTCTCAATGATAAAACAAAATCCAATGAATATCGCACAAGGTTAAGGAGGTAGGGAGATGTGAGAACCTAACCTGGTGACCCCCGCATGACACCAGCCCGTTGCTACACTCACACCAGCTTCCACAAGCTGCTGCTCCTCATGTCCTCACTCGCTGCTTAACATTATGCTGTACTGATGTGGGAGAATGAAATATGGCTGATTATCCATTTTATTTGTAAAGAGAGAGTGAAGGATGCTTTGCTGATTATGAGAGGCTATGTTGTAACTGTGGCCAAAGGTAATATTATAGTGGGCCAACTTGTTCAATGGTCGAGAGCTGATGAAGGGCACTGAGCCTAGTAAGGGTCCAGAGTAAGAACCTGAGCAAGTGAGTGCCTATATTTTTATATAAGGAAGCCCTGCTGGGAGAGACCAGGGTCCACCACCCTATAAATTGTTGGTGATGAGTTGGTACCGGCGGAATTGGCGCAGGGTGATGCCGGAATACACGGGGTCATTCATGGGCGTTCGAACGTCGGGGGGTCATGCGACCCTTCTGAGATGGGGCGGCAAAGACATAAAATGGAAGTGTGGTGGCCAAGCCCACGTGACATGTACATGGGCCTTCGTCTTTGGGGTGCTGAAGGAGCCGGTCGCGGTGCAAGGCTGTAACCCACTTTGTCAAGGGGTTTGTTCCTGCGAGGGCATTGGCTAGAGCTTTTACCTGACGAGGTGTTGTAAGCACATCGGCCATTGGCTACCTGTGTGGCACGGGTGGCGAGGGGGAAGAGGGTGAAGAGCCATGACTGAAGCCATTACTGGATGGGGTATTATAGAGAGGAGCGACGCTCGGTGGGGACCCTGGCCCCCTTCACAACTGTGCTTGAGAACCACGCCACGACATTTGTCCAAAACTAACTGCGCCATAAGTACCATAGCCAATACTACCATAGTAGTCACTAGGAGCTCCACCAGGTCCAGAGGGAGAATACCCACCCTGTAGGAAGTCAATATTACTTTATACCCATAACTATTTCCATCCAAATAAAACAAAAGAAAAAAATGCAGTTTATCTTGCTTGTATGAAATGTATCTAACAAAATTTTACTGAATACATATAAATACAGCTGAGGTATGGTACAGTAATGCTCAAAAAAATTTGCATACTAACCGCCATATATCTGTTGAGCTCATCCTGAGTGTCGAAGATCATAACAATGAAGGGACTGCCAGGGACATGTTCACCCGACCACTTCACCTCCATGCGATAGTCCCCAGGCTCTGTGGGATCGTACTTGCACAAAATAGTCCTGTCCTTCTGAGATTCACGCTGCATCTCCACACGGAGGCACCTGTTGAAAAAAACAAAAATATGCATCATGAAACCGACAATTTCCATAGCATAAGGACACTCTTGTGAGTGTTTTGCTTCATCAATTATGTCATTATGTGAAACCAATCAGATGACACACCTTTTGGTCCCCTGATTCTAACGGTAAGCTGTCCGGCCCCAGCGCCTCGAGTGTCACAGATGAAGCGACTCTGATAAGATGCTAACACTCATGTCAATCCCGGACCATATACACGTAACCTTATGACCAGCAGTGAACTGCTATGTGGTTAGCAAAATATAGAGATACAGAAAGTGCAATGAGCCCTCTAAGATAAAATTTGAATATAAAATATTTAATTTGAAAAGAGCTGAGATTATTTTTCTTTGCCAAGTGTCATTAAAATAAAGATAAAAAAAATTTTTGTTGTGAGGGTATGTCTGACATATATATAATTTCAAAATAATGCATAAGGATATAAAAACCTTGCTTAATACAAGGATCATGTCGCTTTGAGTGATGCATAATAAAGAAATCTTTATGAGGTGCCTAATTACTGTACATATTGTTATAAATTTTGTGATATATGATTAAACTGTTCCAAGTATTATGAGCATTTAACACAAAACTTAAGGTTAGATGCATCATATACAGACAAGAGTAGGTGGGTAGTAAAGAGTGTGGGTTACTTAGAATAAGAACACCATAAGGTGGGTAGCAAGTCTGGGCATTACCTTGGATGGGTCAGGGCACAGCCACCTTGAGTGTGAAAGGAGATCCGGGCACGTGTTCCCCTTCGTACTTCACCTACTGAGGGGCGCGTGCCTTACCGGCTCCTGTGTGTACACTATTCATTTACCATCACACACTTTTTATATATTACAGTACACTTTATATTACTATTTCAATGTCGTGATCAGAATGTCTGTATATTTTAGTTTCATTTATTATGCACCTAAACACAACTCATAGGGATCATAAAAGGTTTTGAGGAAAATGGGAGGTTAAATAAGGTTTGATCCAGGATGGAAAAGGTAATTTTGGATTCCTTGGATTGGATTAAGAGCCCTTCACCACATCAGAGGCCTCCTAGATAAGAGCAAGTTTTAGCTGTTCTATATTTGATCAGCATTGTCCATAATCCACTATTCACAAGTTACCAGTAATTTTTTTTGTGAAAAGAATTGCAAGGTTTAGTAGGTAACAGGAAAATTCTGTTCCTGTATTTTCTTGAACATTATATATTGGGTTATATTTCACAATTATTTTACAGCAGTTCAACTTATGACTTTTAAGAAAGAGCATACCTGTGCCTTGATGTTTGAACTCGTGTGAAGGTTCCATCACATCGTTCATCTAAGGTCAACAGCGCCACCTTCTGTGGCCCTGTGCAAGTAAACAGTCAATCGCCAGGACTGACGCGGAAGTATCAATGATGAGGACTTGTATTTCGTTGCCAAACATCCCATGTCTGAGCCCTTCGCCTGAGCACACTAACCGCGAAGCATCTGCTGCACTCTCGACGTTACCTTGGTGGACAGCTCGCACCTGGCGGGTGCCCGACTCCACGATTACATTGAGCAAATAAGCACCAGGGCACGATGGGTGTGTTGACCTGTCGCCAACAAGGCGCGCCTCTCCTTGGTTTGTTAATGAGACAGAAATTGTCAGTCTTAGTGCCACGCATGTCTACATCTGGATGCACCAGGGGGGGCGAGCTGCTGAAGCATCAATGATGAAACTCTGAGTCTGGTCTCCACAGCGGGCTGTTTGGAGGCCCAGTGACCCTGCAGAGAGTAAACTCTGGTGTGGTCACTGTAGACACTGGCTCAGCCAACTTCAGATACTGGCATATACTGGCAGTGGCAATATCTGCATACACCCAAACGTAGTTCATAGAACCCTCACCTGGTGGTGTAAAGAGCAGCTCGTGCCGAGAGCCATTCATTCCATGCCTCTTTCTACTTGCTGCCTTCATGCAAACTTCACCTTTGAGTTGCCCGTGGGCCAGCCTCCCACTCACATCGAGGCCAGCGTTTTTCCTCACTCACGCCCCGTGTAAGATCAGGCGGCCATATGCGGTCTTGTAAACTTGACCAGCACCAATGAGTCTCACACGAGCAGGGTCCACAATCTTAGGGTGGAATGGACTGCCTATCAACATCCCGTTTGTTCCATGGACACGGACAATCAAGATGCCCACTTCATGAGGAACATAATGGTACCTGCCAGTCATGTGTGTTTTAGTGTATTCAAACAGAAATGTAATACAGTAGTAAATAAATAATGTGCCATACTTATAAACATATTGAAGCAAGTAGTGCTTGAGCACTCCAAAAATTAAGCACGCATAAATATTTTAGTTACCTATACTGTACATACATTACAGAGCCACATTATATATGAAAACATAAGAATAATCACTGGTAAGGCCTTCATCTTGTTTACGACTGTTTGACACGAGCAACAACTTGTACTGGACCATCCCACAGTGGACGATTGGGCCTCTCCAGGAGGACCACGTCATCGATGGTTAGTGAAGGTTGTGAGGTGTGTCCACTTGCACCACCATCTAGGTCCAGCGCCTTTCACACTAGCTAACCCAGGACTCGCCACTTCACTGTCGCGGTTGGACCCTTGGTACTATAAGGAATATACTTAATAGTAAATTGAAGTGGTGGTATTTGTTTGTTAGAGAAAGTGTTGCAAACCGTTGTATGTAATGGCCTTGCTAGGGTACTGTAGGTTGGTTTCCTTACATTATCACGCTCACAACCCAACAGTATGTTGTATCTCTAGTCTCATAGTATCTTGACAAATTAATATATAAAATATAATGCTTTTCACCACTTTCTAAACTGCCAAAAAAAAAAAAATTTAGGTTTATTAAATATGGTCTTCTCTTATTAAAGAGAGGACGTTGAATTTATATATGTTTGTGTTTCACTCTTCCCTTCCATTAATGGAAAGTAAATCGTGTGTACTGTCCTGGGCAGTCCGGGACCCACTCCGACGGTCCTCCCCGGCCAGGTCCACTCTTCACCTCCAGGGGCATCACCACTCCTGAGGGTGCTACAATATGCCCCTCCAAGTCAGCTATACCCGCTTATGACGCTGGTCCACTGAAAAAGACAGAGTACACACTCAGGAGTGTGAGCACTTCTACAAATTCTCCAATTTAATTTTTTTACACAATATGAGAGTGATCAACAGCGAGTTTGCATTACTTACATTTGATCAAACATTGGTTCACACAGCAGTTACTAATTTTGCTGTGACCCAGCATCATTTAGAGGCAAACATAGGCTGTACACTGAATGGTGAGCCCTTGACATGTTTTTGTGGAACACATCACCTCTATTTTGTATGTTCCCTGGGATGTGTGGGGTCAATATTCGGCCCAGTAAGTTTCCATCACGCGCACTGTTGGTAACATTTAACGGAACGCCCAGTCTTGTGGTTCCAGTTAAAAAGCAACATCAACTCGTTTGGAGGCTGACCCTAGGTCTCCATAACAAAATGATGTGGGTTGTTAACTCTCGCCTGGTGGAGGCCGATGCCTGTGAGCTGTCACCGAGTGGCCGGGTTGGCAGGGTTACGATACCTACCTCAAATGGTCCTCAGTTTAGCAAAGAATAAGAGCACATGTATTTTTTTTTATACGTCGGCCATTTCCCAGGGAGGGCCAGGGTGACCCAAAAAGGAAGAAATACCGCCGACAGAAAGAAAAACTTTCATTCATTCAACAATTTCACCAATCACTCACACATAATCACTGGTTCTGCAGAGGCGCTCAGACTCAACTGTTTAGACGTCCCTCAAACTGCCAATATCCCAAACCCCTCCTTTAAGTGCCGGCATTGTACTTCCCTATTCCAGGACTCGAGTCCAGCTAAACCGGTTCCCTGACTCTCTTCACAAAATATTACCTTCTCACATCCAAATTAGCTTCATTATCGCCGCGCCCAAAAACATGCGGCTCCATTCATTCCTATCTAACATGCTATCACGTGGTTGCTGGAAGTCCAAAAGCCCCTAGCCCACAAAACTCCTTTACCCCCTCCCTCCAACTTTAAGGGGACAACCCCTACCCTGCCATGTTTCTCCTACAGATTTAATGCTCTTCCAAGTCTAGTCTACTTTGTTCCATTCTCTTAAAATGACCAAAGCACCTCAAGCCCTCTTCAGCCCTCTGACTAATACTTTTAGTAACTCACACTCTTAATTTCAACACTTCGAATTCTCTGCATATATTTACACCACACATGACCTTTCATGATATCTCCACTGCCTCAAGCCGCTCTCTGTTGCAGCATTTAAGAACCCGTGCTTCCACACCAGTATAAGAGCCCCCATTTTGGTACCACTATACTCAGTACATTCACTTTCTTTACCTCCATGGATAATGTTCTGCCTACACAGATACCTCAATGCACCGACTTCACCTTTTTTTCTTTCTTCATTTCTATAGTTAACCTCATCCTTTATAACCCATCCGCTGACAAAAGTCGACTCTCAAATTACAGTGGACCCTCAAATTTAGTAGTGCCTTTTCTGTGCTCGCGCAAAATAATTTATCTATAAAATGTTATTGTTTGTTAATATTTTTGAGGTTTCGTCTGGAACATGGTTTAATTGGATTTTTCATTATTTTCTATGGGAAATATTAACAAAAAATACATTTTATAGTTAATGAAAAATAGTTTTGCAATACAGAAGACACTACTAAATTCGAGGGTCTGAAAACATTACTTCTTCCATACTCCCTCCCTCAATGTGATATCAATGTTTTCTTTATCTAAATTGATTGATACCCTCATACCTTATCTTATTATTGTTCACTTTCCACTTTTCCCTTCTTTTTACCGGTACACACCCTCCCAATAAAATCCATTCCACTATCATTTGCAACTTTTCTTTAGAAATCCCCCAAAAGTACAAGTCATCATCTGCAAAAAGTAACTGGTTATTTCAACTCCCATTTTGTATTTGATTCCCCTTAATTTAATT